AAGGAAATGAAGTTGCTGTGTGTAGGACTTCATTTGTGTCTACTGAAGACATGGAAACGTGGCAGAGGCATGAAGCAGGGAACTGCAGAACAAGAAAGGATGAGCTTAGAGTAACCCAATGCTGCTATAACAAACTGCTCCTGTCCTCGAGCTCTACTGTGGTACTAAGTCATGGAAAAAGCATTTTCACCAGTGTGTTCTCAGAAACATCGTCTGCTCCTTTTTCAACTATATAGCTAGTCTGAGACAACAGACTGCATCCAGCAGCAATAGTTTTGTTATTAGTACATGGCAGGAGATGAAATTCCAAGTGCTCTGCAAAACCAGAATGGCCACCTCCCCTTGGCTGAGCCCTCTGAGTGCCCCGGTGCTCATCTATGCGCCTCAGTGCCACACGTGCGCACTGGGAATGACAACGGTTCTGGTAGGTGCTACGCAACCACCACCGTTTGCAGGTGAAATACTAGAATGACGCTGCAGAAAAGCCGGCAAGGAAATGAGTAGTGAGTAGCGCTAGTAGTAGTTGCTACTGAGTGAGGGCTAGTCATCCGATGCACCGCATGAGCCAGGGATACTGTGGGAAACACAATGCATGATGATGCAGTTAGAAGATGATGACACAGTAACTCACAAAGGGAAATGAATTCATGTTGCATGGGTAACTATAAATACAGCATTTCTTTTCCCCAAGTACCTGACTTTGCATCCTTAACATGCTTGCATGTAATCTTTCTCCTTCATTGCAGACACACAAACGGCTGTAGAATATCGACCAGATAGCTGCCAAACTGTTACATATTAGAAGCAAACTATCTCCCAAATGATTTGAATTCATACCCTTTCCATGCATGAAACTGTATTTAGAAAAGCAAATTTCCCTGCACATTAAAGGAAGCTGTTGCATGCCTGTCTATTTTGCATGCGCAAAAGAAAGTTTTGCATACACAATGGATATATATAGGAACAGCTTTTGATTGCAATCTAAGTATTGCCTTTAGAAAATCGTGTCCCATTAAATAATTCATGTTATCATCCTAGCAGAAAAAATCCAAAAGTGTCTAGTGAGGAACTAAATTAGTGAAAGTGGGGATTCAGAAAATATTGTACTCTGTGTTGTAATAGTAACACTTCATTATTGGTTTATACAGAAAACAAACAAACTGGATAATTTGTAGCTCAGATAAGCCTTGGTTAATAGAGCCATACAGGATGTAAGGGGAAATGGGAGTGCGCATTCCCCTGCCTAGATACCTCTCCTGACGCAGAGCGGGAGGGCTCTGCTGTGCTAAGTCTCACTTTGCAGAGGGCAGATGCAGATTCGGCTCCATTAACACCAATAAACTGGCTACCAGAGCAGACCCACAGTGTGGGGAAGACGCAATAGCTACATCTGGGGAAGAGCTCTAAGAAATCATTCCAACCCAGCCGGTGAAGAAAGCAGAGACAAATTTTGAAAACCTGCTGGGCAAGATACAACTATATTTCAAGGCTCAGGCCAGGTAGTCCCGCCTAATTGACAGTAGAGGTTGGCTTTTTTATAATATCAGAAATTTTTAGATAATAAACCATGCTAAAGAAGGCAGCAAGAAACATTTGAGCTCGAAATTGTGAATAGTGCTGCTGGCACTGTTTTTAGAGTGCATGCAGATCCACTACACATTGAAGATCTAAATAAAACAGCTGAGCAACTAGAAAATTACATGGGAAAAAATAAGGTAATGCATGAGGACTAAATTATTGTAGCTTGGTGAAAACTGTTCTTCTGAGTGTTATCCCTGTCTTTAAACTCTGTAAGGATTCCTGTTTGTTCCTGGACTCGTACCGACTAAGACTAGGATATAGGTCTTGGCCTTATTATCTGATAGCTTGTAATATCTACTACTTGATGACTTGGTGAGAAATTACATTATAAAATCTTGATATTAATTTAAAACCTACAAGGTTTTGCTCATTATTTCTGAGACAGCCTGTTCAACTCCTAGTCAGCAGCTACAGCAAAGTATGCCGACCCCATTGATGAGGTAATCAATTATGCTGGAACACAACAAACTAGTAACTAGAAAGAAAGGAAGCCTATGGTTTTATACAGAGACAGCAAAAACAGAGAGAAAGAGCATTTGGCAAATGACATAGGACAAAACATTTCATTTCCAGGTTCCAAGAAGATACATTTTAAATTGGTATTAAATATGATTTAAAAATCAAAGTTTTTCTATGCTGGACAGCTTTACTTGGAGTGAATGAAGACAAACCAGGGCACGCATCCAAAGCTGTGGCTCTACAGGCATGTGGCACTCTGGAACAGAGATTTACATGCCAGCAACTGCAATTATCCAAACTAGCAATGATTTAGCATTCTGTGATGTCTGGAGTGCAAAAAACACAGGCTATACCTTTACATTACAACCATCTGAAATCCAGGTTTAAATCCTGCCTTTAAAGAGACTGCAGCACAGCTTGCTGCTGTGTGAAGGCTGCAGAATAAAAATGATTAATTCTGCCCATCAGTGAAGTTTTCGCTTATGAGTATCACAAGCCTTTGCTGTGTGCAGCAGAAAAAAATGAAAATAATTTTTATGTTTAGTTTCAAATCCTTATTCAAAACCATGTAACAGTGTTAATTACTAAACACTGGGAAGACTGAATAAAATATCAGAAAATGCTGCCTTAAAAAAAAAAAAATAACAACCACAGAACAAAACACCTTAAACCTAAGTGCATTTACCACATTTTTCTAGTGGATGATTTTACCATTCTGAGTTCAGAAAGGATTTTCATGTTAAAATTAACAGAAGAAAGTAATTGAAAGAGAAGTAAATCAAAATGGAAATATATAATCTAATATGAGCTCCCATGATGAGCTCAACATCTGAAAAAAAGAGCAGAATGATCAGTTCCTCACTGCAAGAAAGAGAGACGCAAAGATTGGCTTGGGAAAAAAAAAAGATTTCCTTTTGGAATCACCACAGCAGGAGTCAGAGGAAGCTTTGCACCCAGAGACCTAATGTTGTCTGTTAAGCTAACAAAACTAGTCTGGAAGAAGAAAAAAAGTAAGGCTTCATCTTTTCATCCCCTTCCACTTCACTGCACATCTCCCCAGTGCTTATCTTGATCCCAGTTTTCTTTTTCTGAGGATTTTTTTCTCCCTTCCCTCTTCCTTTCTTGCTTTTTTTTTTTTGATGCTGATGGGGGAACAGCATGAGTGCCTGATGCCAGCTGCATCCTAACAGGGACCCTGCCTTTCTCATTTGCATTGTCACATTCAGCAATTATGGAATATGCCACAAAGGACTCAGAAGGGGTCAGTGATAGAGGTAGCACTACAAATTCAACGTGGCCTTCTCGGAGCCTCGCAGAGGCTGGGGGCCGCGCACTGCAGCCGGTGGGGACAAGCCCAAGCGCTTGTGGTGCCTCCAGTTGTGCTAAGGGGATCAAAGACCTTAAAAGTGGAGTACTGACTTGTGCCACAGGACAATTTGGAAAGAAAACATGCAAGTAGCCTACCTAAGTGAGCCGCTTGCTGCCCAGTTCGCCACAAGGGTGTATTGCAAAACTTGGTGTGACTGAGGAGGAATCTCCAGAGAGGACTTCTGGAGAACGTGCTCTAGAGTGCTTCACCACGAGACAACGACAGTGTGGCTATAGGGATGTTGCCAAAGTGCAACAGTCCCTTTCTGTACCAAACCAGAGACTAAACTAACCGTGAGAATACAATACACACAACATAGACATGTTATTCTTGTATTTATACATGGAAAAATTCTAATGCAATGTGTTATTCCTCTGGGGTTTTACGCCATGTTCTTCTTTCAGTTATGCTACAGCAGACCTGCCCTGCATAACTCAGACTATAATTTGAACAGTAACTTTTATGCTAACACCACATAAGTAACAATCAGCAATGGCTTATCGTATTGGAAGAGTTAAGGACAACTACAGACTGTCTATAAGCTCTAGGGATACAGTGAGGGAGATCTCACCATACATCGCAGTCCTGCACACTGTTCCCCTTGGAGTTCGAAACACTCTAGGGGGTAGGACTCCACTTGTAAAGAAGATATTACAAGGATCATAGACATGAACAAAGTGCAAATAAAACATAGACTACCAGGTACAGATATGCATTAGGCTGAAAATAACTGCATTTTCTAGAGTGTTCTTGTTCTCCTAAAAAGGCATCTTGAATAATTACTCATACAATTAAATGGAATAAACCCAGATTTTTTTGGTCAAGTTAGCTTGGTATATCATTGAGTAATTTGCCTCACTTTATGTACTAATGGCATGCCTAGAAATAAGAAAAATCTGAATTTTAACCTTGAAATATGAACTCTACAAACCTGTATTTCACTGTATGCATTGTAAGCCCACACCAGGGAATACTTTCAAAAATAAAAATAAACTTCCAAACTTTGAATGCACTTTAAGGGTCAAAAAGCAATGGGAACAAATGCATTATTTAATCATAAAAACACACTTGATTCAGTGCAAGGCTGAGGAGGGAGCTCAGGCTCCCAGCGGCAAGTGAAGTGAGGAATGCTTTGAGGGACTGCTGCAAACAGGGCTGGAGCTGAGCTTTTGCTCAGCCCTGCTTCTGCCTGGGAGAGGTGGGGAGGTCAAAGAGCTGGAGAAGACAGGCAGCTCTTAATAAGAATGAGCTGCCATTTTCTCAGGAATAGGGAAACAGAGAGGAAAAATGGTAAGGAACTTCTTGCTTACAAAAAATAAAGCCATTACTCAAAAGTGAGAAGAAAGAATGTTAAAAACAAAGGTTAGTCGCACATTGCTTAAAATCCATGATGAAATTCTTATCCCTCTTAATGGCGTATTGTTAGCAGCTACGCCTTTATTACAGTCTCTGTGTTTCTCCTGCATTCTCATTAAGAGTAAGGTCCATTTCTTACCTGACTGACACAGGCTCTGCTCTCGTTACCTTGACTTGAATCTAACAGTAACTTTTAAAAAATGCTCACAATAATCATCAGCTATGGTACGCTTACCCTGAGGTAGTTGAGGGTGAAGTTTGTCAGACCCATTCGAGTGATGTTTTTGGACAGCTGCTCCAGCACCTGAGGGTCTTGTGCCTAAACAGAAGAGGAAAAAAGAATTTTCACTTTGCTTTTTGTCTATTTGTTTTTCTCTATGTGCTTGGTGGAGTGAAGGAAGGGTTCTCTGAAGAGAGGTGCCGCTCCTACAGAAAAATTACATGTTGCTGCTAAATTTATGTAATAAGCTACAGAGTTCTGTTTGCATAGGAAGATGTAAAACCTTATGAAATTCGAGCAGAATGAAGATTGTTTTCGAGTACCTTCTTTCTGCCCCTACCTGTTCAAAAGATAGACCTAGAAGGTTTGGTTATGCACAGGGGTGCGAGTGAGCAGGGCCCCATCAAGGAGCTTCCTCAGGGATCACAAAGCACTTTGAGCCTTCCATTTGTTGGATGAGAGTCCCAGGAGTCCAAGCAGATAAAGGCAGAAATAAAGTACCAGTTTCTTGAGGATAAGAAACTGAAGCAGAGAGAACTCATCAACGCACCTTCAGCAGAGCTGATCACGTAAGTGGCATTAAGCACAGGCTGGGGAACCCTTCCGGTCTAAGCTATTTTCCCAGAATTAAAAAGGAAAAATGCAAGTAAAGTCCTTCTCTGACCCTAGCCAGGAACTTTACCTGTGAGACCAGCCTCCTCTTTAAAATAAGATCAATCTCACTACTAAAATTAATACCTGCTGGTTGCTGGCAAACCTGTTTCTACTCTCTTGGAATTGCAGCAGGACCCTAAATACACAATGTTGCTCATGGCCATCCTCATTGTCCTTTAATGGAATAATGCTGAAGAGTTCAGATCAGCCCTCTAAAATAAAAGATAACCCTGGGACGGAAATGGTGGGGTAGGCTTTCAAAGGCATTTTCTTCAGGCCTGTAACAGCATTTTCAAAAAAGTCCAGGCTTCTTATTTTAAAATCTTCACTAAGAACATATCTTTATCTATAGATACCTAAGTAACTCCATGTCAAATTACAGGCACATATTTGGGCCTGTGTCCTTACCCTCTATAAAACCATAGTCCTGCAATTAATTTTGTATATGGAGCACTACTAGCAGGAATGCTAGTTCCTACTGCTAGTAGGAACTGAAAGTGGCAGTAAGACTCTGTCCTTTGTTTCTCTGTAACAATTTACCTTACAATATTTTGACTTCAAGCTATAGAATATTTAATATTTTAATGTCCTATTGTGTGTGTTTTCACTCGATTACAAAATAAAAGTCTTGAAATGTGAAAAAAAAAATCCAAATTAAAATTCTAAAGGTTTCTGAGTAAATATATGGTAATTACTTATTTTCTGACTTATGCAAGGGTAATATTAATTTGATTCATTTAAAGACTAAATATAAATCATACCTACAATGATGAAAATTCACTGACTTTAGTGCAGTTCATATCAATAAGAACAGATTTTGGGCTCAAATCACACAGACCACCAAATGGGATTAAAAGGAAAACTATGTGCTAAACCAAAATGAAAACATAGCAGCAGTGGCAACAATAGAGCACTGAGAAACAAGGGAGCGATGAAAGAACTTGTAAATGGAAGCAGTTGCAGGCAAAACAAAATATTTATAGTTAATTGCCTTGGGTGTGAAATTTGCTGGAGTTCTTCATAAACCTAATCTCATCTCTTTGCATTAGGTCGAGTGAAAAAAGGATTACTTACATGCATGGCTAGAATGCTGCGTGGGACTAATTCTCTGTACTGTCTAATAGTAAAGTGCCACGTTTTTATTCTCATAAGATCATCAAAAGTAAACTCCAAGATAAGACGTCCTTCTGTGCATACCTAGAATACATAAAATGCATGAAATAAATTCCCAGGAATTTTGTTTTCAATGGTATTGTATCATCGATTAAACAACATTCAAAAATATCAGAGCAATATTCTATTGTTCATCTCTGCTAGATTAATTGTTTTTCTTTGTCTTGGGGAGAAAAAACGAATGTGGGAAAATGACTTCATAGGCCTTACTGCAGAGACAGTAACTTATATTACTATAGATTTTATAGCATTTTACAAACATGGAGTATTGTATGCG